CCAGACAGGATTAAGGGGAGAGGAGAGGGAGGCAATTCATCTACTCTGCTTTAAAACAATTTCCCAGGCTTGAGCCAAGGCCAGGGACCAGAAGCAGGGAAACGCTGAATCATTTCTGACTCACTTACTGCTTCGTAACAGAAATGGCGGAAAAAGCTTCGGAAGGGCAAAGGGACATCCGGTTTCCTTAAAAACTTCAAAATTGCTTCAAAAAGCAAATCTTTCCGAATTTATTCTGAATTACGAAGATTCTGACCAAACCTAACCATGCCTAATAATTAACTTTGTCACAACACAATGAATATTACTGTGAGCTGCAAGGGAATTGCTGCAAGAGAAGTCGAGGCAAAGTGAAAAGAGAAGGCAGGAGACATGGGAAAATAAGATTAACTTTAAGGGCAAAACAAGACTAATTCCCTGTAGTAGCTAAGGTGACTTAAGTGAGGTTTTTATACTTTGGACATATTGTGAGACAGCATGACTCAGTGGAAAAGATGATCATGTTTGGTAAAATGGGAAGTAGAAGGAAAAGAAAGAAACCACGTTACAGATGAACTGACTCCATCAAGTGAAGCATGGCTGTCTTGAATTTCTAAGATCTGAGCAGGGCTGTTGCTGACTAGGACGCTTGGAGATCCAGAACGTTGCTATAAGTTGAAATGAAAAAGACAGAGGCATTGCAATGCGAATCGGGGAAAGAGGTGGGAGGCATGGGAAAGACAGGCACAATGAGTCAAAGAGAGATAAAAAGGAAAATGGAGTGAGAAGTGTAGAGGCAGTGTACAAGGGAAGGCGTGAGTCATCTCATCTTCTGTCTTGCTGTTGCTGCGCTACTGGCGTTTGCGGGTTCCCTGTTCTGAAATCAACAGAAGTACCTGCATGACCAGAAAGAAGGTGGGAGGACTGGCTGATTTTAATTCATTTTCAGGAGTCATTTTGTATATATTTAAAATAAATGTTCATATATTTCATGGTTTAAATCACTTTGTGACCCTAACATGTTGATACGTGCTAAAAGCACTGCTTTGGAGAAATCCGTAAATTAATGAAACGCTACATGTGTCGGGGGCTTGTGCCTTTTTCTGCTCAGATATATGTATTGCCAATTATTTTTGTTCTGTTCTTAAGAAATGTACTATCTTGTTCTGTTGTTAAGAAATATCCTGATCTTAATGCTTCAGGCAAGATACAAAGCTTTCTAGGAATACTGTCTTTTGTTATTTGCTGTTAAATTGTCTTTATGGTAACATTCCAAACGAATGGGCACGAAAGGCTCCCTCGCAGTATCCCCAGATGGGGATGCCTGTTGCTAGGTGAAGTGTCTTCTCAAAATGGAGATGAAACAGAACAGGTAGGCGAGAAAGGAAGGTCCCTTAAGTTGGTGGAGCATTTCAAGAGAGAGAGATGCCTAGAGAGAAGGAAAGGGAGGGAATCCACATGTAGAGGAGTATTAAGAATTAAAAGACCATTTGGTATAGGTGGGAAATGATAGGTAGGAAATGCAGGAGAAGGTAATTCTATTTTTTCCAACAGGTAGAATCACACCCTTGATGTTTCCTTCTCAGCACACCTCAATCTTTTCACCCTAGACTATGGAGATGTTGAAGAAATGGCTGGGACATCCCAAGGAGCTCTACAACTTGGTATGGTTCAAGATGGGCGGTTACAAGACCATAATGCCGAAGATGGACCAGGTGAGTTGGTGTGCCTCTGTGTCACTGGACACTTCTTCTGTTCCCCTTTCTAAATTCGTTGTTCATCTTTGATTATAGTTTATATATTGAAATATTGGTGGCTAACTAGTCTTATATATGTTGTTGTTTTGGTTATATAACTCCCAGTCCCAAAAATGTTCAGAGGACCTATGGAATCAATTTTTCTTTACTACCCTGATTGGTTGGGTTTTTTGGGGAAGGGGAAGGGCTGGTAGATGTACCACCCATCCTCTTTTTCACTTTCACCCAGCATGAGTGTAGGAGCCCCTGGTGGCGCAGTGGGTTAAACCCCTGTGCCATCAGGACTGAAGACCGACATGTCGCAGGTTCAAATCCGGGTAGAGGTGGATGAGCTCCCTCTATCAGCCCCAGCTCCTCATGCAGGGACATGAGAGAAGCATCCCACAAGGATGATAAAAACATCAAATCATCCAGGCGTCCCCTGGGCAACGTCCTTGCTGACAGCCAATTCTCTCACACCAGAAGCGACTTGCAGTTTCTGAAGTCACTCCTGACACAACCAAAAAAATAAATAAATCATGGGTGTATTTGCCTTTAAGCTGCCTGTCGTTTTTTGGTGACCTTATGAATTTTCCTATACAAAGAATACTCAGATGTGGTTTTGCCTATTCCTTCCTCTGAACTACAAAGTATATTTTAGAGGAGGGCATTGGCAGATCACCTGTCAGCATTCTTTGTTGAAGTCACCAAAAGGCAATTTGAAAGTGCATGTGCACACACAGAGAGAGAAGTGCTTTAAACAGCAAAAGCTCCTTGACTTATCAATTCCTAATGCCTAAGTATATTTGAATTTTATTAAAGTTAAAATATTCAATATGCAATAATAAATTTGAGTTGGCCCTCCGTATCCATGCATTTTGCATCCTTAGATTCAACCATTCATGATTTAAAATATTTTTTTGAAAACATACAAAAAACAACCTTGATTTTGCCATTTTATATAAGGGATGTCATTTACTATGCCACTGTACCTAATGGAACTTGAGCTTCCAGGGATGTGGATATCCACAAGGAGTCTGGAATCAAAATCAGAAGATACCAAGACCCAACTGTAATGTTCTTGTTTACCATCCATCCATCCACTCACATCCCACACTCTAAATCAGTGGTTCTCAACCTATGGGTCACCAGATGCTGGGATTTCTGGGGGTTGTAGACAAAACACCTAAAGATCCACAGGTTGAGAACCACTGCCTAAATCAGTGATGGGCAACCTTTTGAGCTTGGTGTGTCAAAATTTGCCAAAAACCTGAGCATAACTTGGGTGGGGTGTCAACTTTGAGAAAAACACACACATAATTTTGCAATATTTATAGTTTAAATAAGAAAAATGTATATTATATTCCATGCTGAGTTATGGAGTGAACAATGCTCAAACGTGCAGATGTTAAATTTGTAGAGCCTTTTACAAATTTAAGGATAGAATTAGATTGGCTCTTATAAGGTGTATGCAGCCGCATGTGGCCACGTGTCTTCAAAAGTAGCCATGTATGTCAGTGCTGACACGTGTGTCATAGGTTCACCATCACGGGCCTAAATGTTATTCTGTGCTCCGATCAGATTAATTGAACATATTTTATTGTGTTTTGTGTTCATTGCCTTTTAAAGGCTAAGCCTGTATGCACACACACATACACGTAAAGGTCTGAAATGCAGAAGCTACTCGATTACTCCAGCTATCTTAGGTTATGTTTATTGCATCTTCCATGGCCTGATGTTGTCTGTGTTGGGCCATCAATCTAGTTAGCATGGATATTGGCAAATTGCAGGCTAATGTATTTGAATGCCACTAGGTTGTATCATTCTCATTCGCATCCTCATCATGGACTGCTTGCCCATATTAGGAATAAAATTAGCCTGGATTTTCATTGCTGCCAGGTTGAAAAAAAAGCCTTGCTAGTTACCATAGAATCAGTAATATCACATAGAAGATAAAAAAATCTTTTGTGACACATTGTTGGAATGTAGAAAAAATAGAATAGACCCCAAGTATTTGCTTCTTATTTCTGAATATAGTGAGCAGGAGAGCATATAATGTGACTAATCATCGATTTCTGAGGCTTCGTAAATATCCAAATGGAAGGCCAAAGGGGAATGAGAATGGCTGTAGGCATGCCATAAAGATGAGTGGCTGGAACGACACTTGAAAAAAATGAGCTTTGCCAAATAAATGGTTTAGCCACTCAAGAGTCATCCCATGCTCAGCACCTTACAGAATATTTACCCTGGAATATTTTCAGGACTGGGAAAACCCTGCAGTTTTGTAAATTCTAAAAATTGGTCCAATATATCTCAAGGCCACTGCTCTAACAGCTTCTATAAAGAGATTCCAGGAGAGGCTTTCTGTAAAATGAATGCCCAGCTACTTAAATTGCCAGCACCTTGTAACCATTGATGTGAAACTAGGAGTGAGTATGTCACTTTCAGACACCATTATCTTTGTTTTGGTATAATGTTCAGCTTTCTTCTAGAACAAAAAAAACCCTGAGTTTAGAGAACACACTTTGCAGACCTATACAAGCAAGTGAAATTGAAACCATATCATCAGCATATAAAACAAAAGGGAACAGACTTTTACCCAACTGAAGGTAGGAAAAAATATTGGAATTATGTCATTCAGACCTAAATTAAAGAGTGACAGTGCAACAAGGACCTTTGTTTAACCCCTTTATCTATGAGGATATGATCAGTTAATGAGAGTGACATTTGTAGATGGTCCATGTTTCACAGGTGTACAAAACAATTGGGAGGACAATAGCTTTATAAGCAAGCATTTTCACATCCTTATGAATGTCCCACTCCTCAAACACTCTTTGCTTTGTTTGGAAATTTTTTTGCATTTGCAGAGCTCAGACATTTCACTGCTGAATTGTTTTATGGACTGGATGAGGGCTAATGAATTGAAATTGAATCCAGACAAGACAGAGGTCTTCTTGGTCAGTTGAAAGACCAAACAGGGCATAGGGTAACAGCCTGTGTTGGGTGGGGTTACACTCCCCCTGAAGACGCAAGTTCGTAGCTTGGGTGTGATCCTGGATTCATCGCTGAGCCTGGAGCCCCAGGTCTTGGTGGTGGCCAGAGGAGCTTTTGCACAACTAAGACTTGTGTGCCAGCTCTGCCCGTACCTTGGGAAGTCTGACTTGGCCACAGTAGTCCACACTCTGGTTACATCCTGAATAGATTACTGCAACGTGCTCTACAAGGGGCTACCTTTGAAGACGGTTTGGAAACTCCAGCTAGAAGACGGTTCGGACTAGTACAATGGTCAGCAACCAGATTATTAACTGGGGCGACATTCAGGGAACATACCACCCCCCTGTTATGTCAGCTCCACTGCGTACCAGTCCAACTCTGAACCCAATTCAAAGTGCTGGTTTTGACCGATAAAGCTCTATACGCTCTATGTGTCCGAACACATCCACCAAAAAAGGATTTTATTACATCCTCCATCTGCTTTTTTGTGATTTCTAGAAAAGGTACCATTAACACTCCTTGGGGTCCAGATGCGTAGGAAAAGGAAGCTGTGTTGGTGGGTTGGCTTCTCTCCACTGCCTGTATTGTTGGTAAGACCCAGAAAGAAGTGGTGACAAACTGATTTCTCCATTCTTGGTGCCAAAAGATTGGGGCTATGGTGGCCAAGGCTAAGCATATGCCACTAATTGAACACTCCAGTTCTATTGCATATGGTAGACCTCCTTTTTTCTTCATGGCTACCAAGTTATCTGCTTGAAACTAGTCTTTTCCAGGCATCTCTCACTCCACCGTCTTTCCTGCTTTACTGTCATATTTATGGCCTCTCTTTCTGAACCACTGGACCAATACTGCCTTCTCTTTCTTCTGCCTGTGCTCAACCTGCAGGACTCTCTCAGTGAAAGCCTCTGCCTCTGCTACCGGTATGTCAACCAGAGTAGTCAGAGCTACTCTGCTATCATTCACATGCTCGATGGGGAGCTGCGGTGAGTCAGAGCATGTGTGTCTGTGTCTATGGATTTGTCTTAGAAAGAAGGAGAGAGAGTCACAACTGCCAGGGAGGAGTCCCAAATACTATATGTGCAAATTGGGGCTTCAAGATAACAGAGCTGAGAAGGCTTTCTTCCATGACCTTACACAACCTTTCCCCTATGTTTTTTTTTAAATGAGTGGTCATTTTACCATTCATAATCTTGGGTGGAAATTATTCTGAAAGGTATGATATATTCGGATGGTTATAACACAAGCTTGTCAGATGCAAAACACTTTGTTTGAATCCATAGACTTGTTGTGGATTATTGATAGCTAGGATCTCATCTCACTAGCACAGAAGTTCTCAAACTTTTTCAGCCACAGTGTCTGTTTTGAAGCAAGTTTCTCGTGGAGCCCCAATAAATGTTTATATTATATTATATTATCATGCAGGAAAAGCACATTGAAAGCACCCAGACTTTAGTAGTAGTAGTAGGAGTAGTAGTAGTAGTAGTAGTAGTAGTAATAGCAACCCCAGGGGCCATCCAGTCCAATCCCCTTCTGCTATTCAGGAAAAGCACAATCAAAGCACCTCCAACAGATGGCCACTCAAACCTTTGTGGTAATAATAATAATAATAGAAGCAATCCCAGTGGCCATCCAGTTCAACTCCCTTCTGTCACACAGGAAAAATATAATCAAAGTACCCCCTGATTCCCAGTATCTCCAATCTGAATGGTGGAAGCTCCATCCACGGAGCACACTTTGAGAACCCCTGCACTAGAGCATGGATCCACTCTAAATCTGGGGCTTGTAGTTTAGGGGAGAGGTCTTTAAAGTGCTCAGCCAGAGAGGTTGTGGTGTTCTGTCGCCGCTGGAGCTGAAATGAAATGCTTCTAAGAGAGGATGCAAGGCTTGCATCCAGCGGGAAGCCCGGGGGCCCGAGAAAGAACCTTTAGAGGAATTTTTCCTATTAAACAGGCTTTAGGAGACCCTTTAGAGGAATTTTCCCTATTAAACATGCTTTAGGAGACTTAAGCTTAAATACAACAGTCTTTATTAATGAACAAGCAGGAATTGTAAGATTTCTAAATAGTCTATTGGCTCTTGCAGTCTTGTTTACAGGAAACAGGCACTATCTTCAAGAAACTTTGTTTAACAGAAAAAATCCCCTTTAAAGCTCCTCCCAGGCTGCTGTGAACCTAACTGGTTTGAGTCTGCTACCGGCTGAACTGCGTCTCAGAACCGAACAGACGTACCATCAGGCTTGAAATCACTTAGCTGAAGATGAAGAGCTGTTATTCCCTCCGGAGGTCCTCAGGGCTGTGAAGCTGTTCCCTGGAACCCTTTGGGAATCCGTAGAGGCCTTTAATCTGTTCTTCCCCAGGAAGTCTTAAAAGACGAAGCCTTTGCACAGGAGGAACGTCTGTACGCATCCTCTGCCTTGGCTTCCCTTGCTGTGACTAACTGAAAAATGGCCCCTTCCCTCCAAAAAGCAAAAAGGGGGCGGGACCAGGGATCCTAACTATAATTGGCAGGTGGCTTACCCTATAAATGCAAATTATAACAGGAAACCCCCTGCTGCAAAATCCCAAGCATGGGATTGCACACAAACACTTAAACACAGCAAATAAATCTGGAGCTCCTGGAACAGCTGTTCCAGAACACGTGGACCTCACTAAACTACAAAACCCAGAATTCTGCAGGATGCAGAAACTGGATTTAAGAAGGATCCATGCTGTAGTGCAGTGGTTCTCAACCTGTGGGCTCCAGATGTTTTGCCCTTCAAATACCAGAAATCCTAACAGCTGGTAAACTGGCTGGGATTCTGGAAGTTGTAGGCGAAAACACCTGGGGACCCACAGGTTGAGAACCACTTTTCTAGTGTGATGAGGTACCTATGACCTTGGCACATGCACTGCCAGAATCACCCTGGATAGTGGCAGATCATGGCAACCACGGTGTCACCTGCCCAGGGAGTGTGGGGACATGTCACCCTGCACCCCGTACTATCCCGGTTTCTCTCCAACCTCATCACATGGGGAAAGCCTCCTAAATGTAGCTCAACCCTGTCACATGCACCACCAGAATCGCTCTGGATCATGGCAGATCATGGTGACCACAGAGTCACCCCCTCCAGGGGATGTGGGGACCTGTCACTCTGCACCCCATACCATCCCAGCTTCTCCCCTACCTCATTACATGGAGGGAAGCCTCCTAAATCCATGGATATGTGAAACTGTGGATAACAATGAACGCTATTCAAATGAAGAACCTCTGGTCATAGAATAGCACAGAGTTACACTGGAATACCTAAAAATGGATAGAAATGGTGTATTTTTGGGCATAGATCAGTGAAATTGTGGGTAGCAATCCTGCAGATGTAGGGGTCATACTGTACACAGAAGTAGTTTTGCTAGTTCCTTCTTTTGAAATGTTGCCTACAGCTCCTGGTAACTGTTACAGATTATTTTTACCCTCCTACTCCCTTCACCAGCCATGTAGTTTGCATCATGTACCTGGTTCTCCTGGCTCTGGACATAGTGGAGGATGATATGACCATCAGCTTGGAAACCAAGATTCCCATTTTACACAACTTCCATTCTTACCTTAATCAGCCGGACTGGCGATTCATGGGCAGCAATGACAAGAACAAGCAAGTGTTGGAGGATTTTCCAACGGTGAGCCCCCCCCACACCCAAACCCCCGCTTGCATGTTGATTGTATATGTGTTATTGAGCTCTTCTACGTGTTTCTCAACTATCACTAGATACTTATGTGCTGTGGGATGGAAAATAGATTTGTCCTCATTGGCCAAACCACATTAGCATTTTGGCATATATATATCACATACAAGTAATGTTTGGTCATGAGGAGGTATTCGTATCATTATTTTACATATGGAAGCATTACAATGAACAATCTCTCTTTGAGCAGTTCTCTTTCTCCTTTCCATGATTTCACTATAATCATTCTTGCTGCTATATATATCTTCCTGGTTAATACCTTCTCTAAATAGACCTAGAAGGCACATTGCTGGACCTTTCTTGACTACCCCTTTCTAAAATTGTGACATTATCAGACATGACTATTGCGGCATATGGCCAGAGTCCATCTCATGCGCAGATGAAAGAGAAGAAGGAAACAGGATTCGGAACGGCTACCAACAGGCATATTCAATGCCGATACAATATAATAACATAGCATAAAATACAATTAGCATAAATTAAAACAGTTATAAATATACATTCAGATCGTGATCCAAATCAATCCATTGCACTCCATTAAAAACATTATCTTCCCCAGCAAATCAGTCTGCTCTGCATACGCTTGATCCCACAGGCAGGATTTGAGCTTCTTCCAGAAGGTCAGGAGGGAAGGGGCAAATCTAATCTCATTAGGGAGTAAGTTCCACAGCCGAGGGGCCACCACAGAGAAGGCTCTGTCTCTCATCCCCACCAAACATGACAGCGATGGGGGTGGGACTGAGAGCAGGGCCTCCTCAGATGATCTTAAGGTCCTTGGAGGTTCGTAGAGAGATATACGTTTGGACAGGTAAACTGGGCCGGAACCATTTAGGGCTTTATAGGCCAAAGTCAGCACTTTCAATTTTGCTCCCCTGTGCACAATGGAGCTGGCTAGTGGAGCTGGCATTACAGGGGAGTTGTACACTCCTCTGGTGAGCAACCTGGCTGCCAAACATTGCACTAGCAGGAGCTTCCGAGCAGTCTTCAGAGGCAACCCGACTTAGAGTGTGTTGCAGTAATCTATATAGGATGTAACCAGAGCGTGGACCACCATGGCCAATTAATAATAATAATAATAATAATAATAATAATAATAATAATAATAATAATAAATTATTTTCAAAACAAACAAACAACATATTATTATAGATGTGTGTGCATTTACTTATTCCTCCCATCTCTCCAAATTTGAAAACCCTTGGTGAACAACATTAAATAAGCATTTCAAGAAATACAGGATTTTAAATCTTGGTGGATTATTTGGGGAATTAGCCCGTTTTTCCTTTGTGCTTCAGATCTCCTTGGAATTCCGGAACCTGGCAAAGGTCTATCAGGACATAATTGCAGACGTTTGCCACAAGGTGGGCCTCGGGATGGCTGAGTTCTTAGAGAAGAAGGTGGAATCTGAGAAGGATTGGGACAAGGTCAGTGGCTTCCCTTGGAAAATCTTCATGGTGGATGTAACCCATTAATTGTCTGATATGGCAGTTATGTAATCACAGAGTTCTGGCTGCTTGAAAACAATTCGTTCTACATTTGCCCATGGAAGGCAGAAATCTATTTTCCTTTGTAAATGAAGTCTGCAGGAGTAATAAAAAGGGAGCCATAATCGTGGGGTAAGCTAAAAGAAGAATTAAATTGGAAGTATGGCTTAATTCCTACCTATCTGAAATATAATTTCTCCCTTTTTGAGCCTCACAATCCCGAAGGGCCTGTCCGTTGAAGGCAAAGGACAGTACATTCTTGATGCTTGATCCCAGCCATTGGGATTTTTCTCCTTTGGGAACTAGGCAGGCTCTCTTGTTGCATTGCCTTCACCTGCAAGCAAATATCTTTTTATTGAAAGAAGCATAGGAAGATTAACTGGTTGCAGGGAATCTTTTTCTGGTGCATGCATGTATGCTGTAGTTTGATTTTATTATCCTGTTTCTAAATGTTGTTATGCTTTTGAAATGTATTGGCCTTTTAATACAATAATGCATTCCATAGTGATTTTTTTATTCACAATTTTTAGCCTTGTCTTGTTTTATTAATTATATTCATTCATTCATTCAT